TCCTTTTACAGTTCGCCAAATTGTTTGTGGTGACACTCCCAATACAGCCGACGCATTCCGAACGCTGGTCTCAGGATGATTGTCAAAATGTTGTAAAATACGATTCCCTGCCTGCAAATCTCTTCGTAACGCTGCTTGAAATCGGTTGTTTTCTTGTCGAATTGAAAATGTTCCAGTCTCTCGCAATCTATTAAATGTCAACATAAACACTCTTCGGTTTGGCACTCTTCTGTTTGGAAATCGTCGTGCATATTCTCGCACCGCCTTTAAAGCATTACCGTTGCAGAAACCGTATACAAAAACCATATCAGCATATTCACTATTAGAATACGTACGCGGCATATTGCAAAAGACAAAATTCATCTACTGTTAAAGGCTTTCAAAGAGCGACTGACAAATTCATAACAGAAAGTGGAAAATGTAATCAAATATGTCGGTGCTAGATATGGCAAGAAATGTAAACATTTTTTTTCGATTTCTCTGAAACGGAGCAAAAACGAGCATATGTCTATAGGACTTTTTTTCTTAGTTTTTTACTCCTCTACACGCTCCCGAAGTTTTGCCATTTAATTTGGAAACACCCTGTATATACGAGTACACTACGCGCATAAATTAAGGGGAGCCGCCGATTTAGAAAGTAAAAAAAATCGATTCTTTTTTATTGCATAAATCGATAGAGGAACTATCCAAGAATATGTTCGCAAAGTTATAGGGAATAATTTGAAGTATTTTAAAAGATATGGGACCGAGTGCCGGTAAGCGGCGAGCGGGCGCATGCGAGCAGCCGGGCGAGCCGGGCTCTTCTTGTGCCTTCTCGGCGCTTCGACCCATTGTTCGAAAATTATACCTGCAAAAGGTCGAACGAGTTTTCAAAACATTACGTTGAGTTTGTAGTAGTGTCAAGTTACACTATATCACGCTGTATACAAACAGAAGTATACGTAAAAGGTTTCTGTGAATGTGTTTCTGCGTTGCTGCTTCTCGTGCCAACGGTCAGTATTTCTCCGATTATCGGCGTGTTTATATCGTGAGAGCATAATGAAAAGTTATCCAAAAGGAACAAAATCGACCAGTCATCGAACTTCAAAGCCGCGTAAACGCAAATGTCATGAAAATCGGTTCACAAATAATGAAAACGATGACGAGTTGGATACAAGTAGTTCCGCGAGAAAATTGTCGACTGTGGACGGTACAAGTGTAATTGTGAATCCACTTCATTGTTATAGGATCATAGAATTTCTCACGGTATTTGGTGCGTTTACCGATATTCTAGTCTGCAGTTCATGTAAACAAAAGGTTCGAATTGAAGAGAGCGGACATAGAGGCTTAGGATTCAAAATTATCGTGTCGTGTAGGTGCGGGCAAAGAGAGATAAATTCAGGATCTCTGATAAACACCGGATACGAAATTAATAGACGGATTGTATTCGTTATGAGGCTGCTTGGTATCGGACAAGAAGGCATCAATGTGTTTTGTGGCCTTATGGATCTATGCAACGGGTTGGCGAGAACAACGTATGATAATATAGTGCAGCACATTTACTCAACGTTGGTATCAATGTTTGAAGAAATGAGTAAAAAAGCCATCACAGAAGAGCGACAGAAGAATGCACAACACGGAAGAATTGAAACGCATTTGAAAGTTTCCGGCGATGGGTCATGGAAGAAACGAGGTTTCACTTCTTTGTATGGTGTCACAACTCTCATTGCATACTACAGCGGTAAAGTAGTCGATCTTCTCGTAAAAAATGCACATTGCGCTGCATGTAACAACAAGAGGAAAGAATTAGACGACGAAGAATTTGAAGAATGGTACGAAAAACATCAAGAAACATGCACTTCAAATCACGAAGGTTCAGCCGGAAAAATGGAGGTAGATTCTATCATGGAAATGTTCTTGAGATCTGAGGAAAACTTTGGCGTTCAATATCGTAATTATATTGGCGACGGCGACTCGAAAACTTTCGCGGGTATTTTGAACTCAAATCCATACAGTGATGATTGCCCCGTTACAAAAAATGAGTGCGTGAGTCACGTACAAAAACGGATAGGCACACGACTTCGTAATCTCAGGAAGAAAGAGAAGCTTGGCGGCAAGAATCGGTTGACGGAGTCTCTTATAAAAAAATTAACAATTTCTTATGGTTTGGCCATTAGAAGGAACGTCGAATCTGTTGAAGACATGAAAAATGCTGTTATTGCAACTCTCGATCATTATTGCTCTACGGATAAATCGCCGAGACACGAGAATTATTCTGTTGGCGCCGATAGCTGGTGCGATTGGCGCAAAGCTGAAGCGGCTAATCAATTACTTCTTATAAGCATGCTGCTAGAGTAATTGACAAAGACGTTGAAAAACATATTCGTCCAATTTACGAGGATTTATCAAACGACCATTTATTAACACGATGTTTAGGAGGGCACACCCAAAACTCGAATGAGTCGTTTAATGCAACAGTATGGCGAATGGCTCCCAAGCACTTGCATTCCGGCAAAAAAATAATTGAAATTGCGGTAAATATGGCTGCAGGTATTTTTAATGAAGGGTATTCAGCAGTTTTAATCACCATGCAGTTGCTGAATATAAAAATTGGCCAGCAATGCAAAATGTTTGCAGACCTACATGATGCGGAACGGATTAAAAAAGCGGATAAACATCATACAGAAAACAGCAAGGAGGTTCGTACGGCTCGCAGATTTCAACAAATGCAGCAAAATGAGTTTTACGAACAAGCAGAAGGGATGCTTTATGGAGCAGGAATTGCTGATTGAGATAAAACTCATGTAAGTATCAATAATTAAGAGTTTTTCTTACTCAAAACTTTGAAGCGCGTTTTCTCCATTTCTCATTTTTACAATTTTATACAATTGGCGGGTGTGATAGCAAAAGAACTATAAGAGATATTGAAATAAACCAAAGCTTATTCTCTTCAGAATTAAATTCTTTTGCACTTAAACTAAAGCCGTTTTTAAAAAAGTCTCTTTAAATAATGTTTAGAGCACGTTAAAGTCAATTTTTTATACCGTAAAATCACACATTTTTGTTTCAAAGCGAATAAAAATGATAATTTTTCGATTTTTGCTACACTTTTTTAGTTCAAGTAGAAGAAAAATATATAACAAATAAAAATCACTCCAATTTTTTCATTTCAGACAAGAAATACGGACTGCATCTTTCCAGCTAATCATTAACAGCAGTTGCAAGGCGCTTCACAATTCACGCCGCCATTTTGTAAAAAATTGAAACAAAAAAAATGTTTTCATACTTTTAAAATATATGTTAAAGTGTCCCAAAAAGATATATACGCCTAGTTATTTCGTTCCTCATTTAAAAAAATATTGAAATATAGCTATTTTTGCACATTCTAAATCGGCGGCTCCCCTTAAAGCATCACCTCTCACACCTTCGAAAAATGGGTAAACTTCAAAGAAGTGTAACTTCTACAAAAATGGTCAAAATGAGATTTAAAAAAAAAAGCATTTTGTAGCTTGAAATCTCTACTTTCCAAATCTGTATAATGAAATAACGATTTGGCTGATTTTTACGGAACTACATGATTATAAAGAAAGATCCATAAAATCTCAAAATTTTTTGTAAACTTTGCACAGTTTCACGCTGTGAATGAGAAGTCGGGTACAAATACAATTCACAGCTTTCGAAAGCGTGATCCTTTACCTTCAATTTACTTTTTTTTTTACCTCTGTACGATTTTTTTTTACCGAGTTATTCAACATTGAAATAAAAATGGTCCCTTTGACTTTGACTGCTCATAAAAGACGAACGGA